TGTTAATGAGACAGATTTAGTATAGGGTATGTCTTAAATCAATCTCTTTTGAGATATACAAGAGATTAAACAAACTTGGTAAAGTAGAGGGTCAGCGAAAAAGAGGAAGACCCTCAATGAGATGGATTGACACAGTAGCTTCAACAATTGGATCTAGCATAGCAACAATTGTGAGGATGGCACAGGACTGGGCAACATTTCGCTCTGCTGTATGTAGGGTCACTATGAGTCAGAACCCACTCGAAGGCATCTAACAATAACAAACAAGCAAGTGAGTAAACAAGATGGGGGAAGACACATGTCAAGCCATATGCAGATCACCCAGGAGCAGAAGCTCAGGAGAGACCTTCCCCTAGAGCTGACAGAGAGAGAAAGCCTTTCTCTAGAGCCAGCACCCTGAATTTGGAATTCTAATCTCTTAAAACCAAAAGAAAAAAGCCCGCTGCCGACGAGTCAATTCCAACTCATGTTCGAAAATAAATTTCTGTTTGTTAAAACCATCCACTTGTGGTAATTCTGTTATAGCAGCACTAGAAAACTAAGATAGTGGTGGTTTTTTAAATCTTTTTCTTAATATTCTATATTTTTCAAATTTTTATAAAAAGACTATATTGGTTTATAATTGGGGAGGGGCAATACATCTGATATTTAAAGAGTTGTGTCCTCCGGGACTCTTCTCGGATGCTGATAATATTCTATTCCTTGACACGAGTAGTAGTTTTTCTGGTTACCATTTTGAAATAACTTGTTAAAATGTATAATTTGGTGGATGTCTTTTTTTCTGCATATTTTATTTCACTCATCCAAGAAGTTATATTCCCTGCAGTTTAGCTAGCTTCTGCAAACAGTAGCTGAATGTGTATAAAGAGAAACAATACGGACTTTGGAGAAGAAAGACTCCGGTGAATACCTGGCATTTGGACGTTTCAGGATCGCACAGACTGCTGTGTCCATTACACTGACATGGAACACAGGTGCCCAGGGTTGGTCCAAGGGTGCGGCCACCCAGTTCAGAAGGTAGTCGATAAAATCCTGGCAAGCATGTCTGAAAGAAAAGAAAGCCAATTAAGACAGTCAAGGTAGAAATCTTGCTTTAGCAACACTTGGATTCTTCAGTATTTGAAAAGAATGACTTCTTTCCTCCTACCTGTGTTAAGGACAGTACCATTTACAAATGCAAGTGCCAATTTTGATGCCTAATGTGTGTATTTCTGCCTGGTCCCTGGTGAGCACAGGCAACACTCTGTAATCACACTTTTGCAAA